TTAAAATTGTTGTCTTTAACGTTGTATTCACTTACTTAGAACGCAAGGTTTTTCACTTTTCAATTGCATAACTTGAAGATCACGTTTCTAACAATATTTCTATATCCTATTTCCAATTGTTATATAACGATAAAATATGATACTTAATAGTCTTAAGCAATCTTTGCTCAAAAGGTTCTCATATTGATTAATAATAAAATTCACTCTTAAAATTAAAGCCTTTCCTGTGAGATTATGTTCACTAGATTTGCAGTATTCAGATGCGTTGGATGCCTCTTGTACACTACCACATATCTAAGAAATTCCTTGAACATATTGATTGTCAGTCTAATTTCTTATTAAAATTATAAAACTCTACGTTGTAGACGTTGGAGTAAGCCAGCAATTCGAGGAATCGTAGCAAGAATCAGATACTCTAAATAATTAATAGATGCTCCGTTTTTTTGTCTCGAGAATAAGGTTGATACTTTAGGTTTTGTCTTAAATTTTATGACCAAACCTCTCTAGAAATTTACAATTATCCAAGTAGTAAGGCCAATTGTAACTGTCGATTAAATTCATCTTGTAGTCAGTCCTGACGCGTTGGATGAATAGACGCCCATACGAATTACTGTCAAAAATGTTCCCTTGTGCTAGAATGTAAATTCAGGGTTGGCAATTGAGCAAATTGAAATTGCGCGAATTGGACATTTAAACATATAAAACTTTCTATGTCCAATTCAACCTGAAGTAATTTGACATATAAAAATTGCCATCCCTGTAATGTAAAATGCTATATTTATACAAGATGTTATCCAGAAAATATTTTCTTAGGGTGCAAGTGTTGCTCAATATCGATACCAATCAACGTAATTTTCCACCAAATAGATTTCTTCCTTCTGTTATCCACTTACACGTTAAATCAACAGAGAGTAAAATGCATAAGAAACGGGAAGGTTCTTTATAAGCATTGTATCAGCGTAATAGATTGGCATGTTTCCTTGCTTGTGAGCGAGCTAGGCTACTATATATATGCGTTAACATTGACTTTCAATTAGCGCTGCGTGTGATACATTTTCAAGGTGGTCTTTACAACTTCCTTGACTAGATTCCCCGTGTACATTTCCAAGTTCCGTGTATTTGCTGTCAATGTAGTAATTCATGTATTCCGTTCTCTGCTTACAGTTAAGCGTGTTTGATTTGTTAATGTTAATAGGATAAACCTTTCAAGAAATTTCACTATCACGTGAACGCGTGACGGCCTCATATGATTGATCCGCAGTTATTTTCTCAGGTCGAAAGGTTTCGGATTTAGGCTATAAATTGCGAAACCTTAAACTGATGCCGAAATCTCAAACTGATTTCGAAATCCCAAACTGATACCGAAATCAAATTCACAAACTGAAAATTCATATATCGATATTATATGTGTTAGCATATATAAAATTTTTTATATATGCTGATTTACCTTTCAGAATAATTTGAGATTTCGGGATTTTGGTACAACCTGGGATTTGGGTTTTAGATTTTGCTTTAAGATTTGGAATTTAGGTAAAAAATTTATATTCAATTTAGCTAATACTAAAGGACTAAGGAAGGATTGGGTTTTCAGGACCCAGCTTTAATTGCAGTACGCAATAGAAAATTACTAAAGTATAATACTTCATATTAGAAGCGATTTCGGCAAGGCTAGATGTAGTATAACAAATTAAAACCTGTTTACGATCATGGTAGTGATAGGAATCGACAAAATTTTAG